GCTCCAGTTACTGGCTGTGCGAATCCAATTGGAAAAAGAACCTCCCTGGCAGAGACAAGGAGTCTTAGATGGGCTAGGACTCCAGCGCGGGTCAAGTTAACCAATTCGGTAACAACTTGTCTTGGTGAAAGGGAGATTAGCAGATCTTGACAAAGTGTTTGTTTCTTCTTGCGCTCTTGCACATCTGCCATCCCCAAGAGAACATTCTCAGATTAATTTGCAAAAGGATGAAAAATAGATGGAGCAGAGCCGAGTCACCCCAGTTATCCCAGCCAAGGGCAGCCAGTAGCCATAACGTGAGCAAGCCCAGTCAAAATCAACACAGCAGGCTGGTCAACCAACAAGATGGGAGCAATAAATTCTTGCTGATGTCTGTGTCCCACTGACGGTTCGCAGTAGTTTGTTCCATGGCAATTTTGTCGCAATAGACAAGTGAAACATATAGTGGTAGCAGGAGTAGGGTGCTGTATAACAAAAATCTAAAATATGTGGCATTACGGGCTTCCCTGGTGGCGCAGTGGTTGAGAGTCCGCCTGCCGATGCAGGGGACACGGGTTCGTGCCCCGGTCCGGGAAGATCCCACATGCCGCGGAGCGGCTGGGCCCGTGAGCCATGGCCGCTGAGCCTGCGCGTCCGGAGCCTGTGCTCCGCAACGGGAGAGGCCGCAACAGTGAGAGGCCCGCGTACCGCAAAAACAATAAAATAAAATAAAATATGTGGCGTTGGCCTGAGACTAATCAGAGGACTAAGGCAAGAAAAGCAGAGAGGAAACTCTGATTCTGAGTTAAGCCATGGGATTTTCTTTGGCCAAGGGGATGTTAGCAAAGCTGATACAAGCAAAGACTCAAAAAAGTGCCTGGGTATTGACAAAGAATCTTTGCTTGACCAAACTCTGGTCAGGCTCCTGAACCTTCTCCTACGCCCATCTGTGCACTTCCTTGTAAAATCCAGTCTCAGCAAGAACCCTGCTAAGTCAGTTTAACTAGAATCCTTCACCCTCAATATCAAAAGTCAGTTTAACTAGAATCCTTCACCCTCAATATCAAAAATCCAGTTCCTCAGCCTCTACCATCCCTCAGGTAATGTCTGATCACCTGGCCTGTCCTTGAGCAAAGAATCCTGGTAGGTCCCTTTAGCCCAAATCCCCTGACCCTTATTGTTTCTTCTTAGTAATTCTCCATCCATTGACCCCCCTCCTGCTTCTTGTCTATAAATTCCCACTTGATCATGTCGTGTTTGTAATTGAGCCTGGTTCTATACTGAGGTCTCTCTTCTGCTATTGACATAGTTTTGAATAAAATCTGTTTTTACCTCTTTAACTACTATCCAACTCTGGTTTTTCTTCTATAGTATTTCTACTTATGTTCTTGCATCTCTGCCGTGACTGTGAGAGCGTGCTTGGGCTAGCCTGCTGGAGGAACAGAAGATGCATAGCTGAGTTGCCCCAACCATCCCACCTAATGCTAACCTAGATAAGCTTATAGCCAGCCAACAGGTGAGTTAGCCCAGCCACCTAGCTGACCGCCCCAAGTGTGCGAACAATAAATGCTTACAGTAAGTACGTGCCATTGATTTTTCTGTGACTGCTCGTTACACAGCAATTTTGTGATAAGAGATAATTGACAAAATGACTAAACAATGGTTTCTACATATTATGTCTACAATAAATATTTGCCTTTTTCCCATATCCCACTATAGTAATGTATGTTGGATAAATGTCTTTTTAACTGCTTAACAGTGTGTTCTATAAGGGTAGAAACTGTATTTTAAAGATATCAGAGTAAGGTAGTAAGAAAACATTATTCTTTTAATAGGAAAGTCATTGTTTGTTAGAGAAAATGCATTGACAGTTGCTTGAAGGTAGAAGGTATTAACAGTGAGGGGATAGTGCCAATAAAAGGAATCAAGGATGCCTGGGGAAATGGCTGATTCAGTGTTGGGGTACGGAAAATGGAAGATGATCTAGATTCTCTTATACTGCCAGAAAGCAATGGAGAAAACTGTATTCTCTTAAACAAATGACAGATGTTAACATCACCAGTAATGGCACAAAGTGGTCTCATATATCTTCTGAAATGATGTACTGAGAAGGGCACAATACCACTTTTGTGGTATTCTTGCAAAAATATATATATAACTTGAATTAAATCAAGAGGAAACATGAAACAGACCCAAAATGAGGTATGCTCTACAAAACAACTGTCCAGTACTTTTCAAAAGTGTTAAAATCATGAAAGACAAGGAAAAACTGAAGAACTATTCTAAATAAAGGAGAATATGAAGATATGAAAACTAAATGCAAACATGCAATGTTGGATTGTATCCTAGATCAGAAAAGGGACATTAGTGGGACATTTGGCAGAATTTGGATAATGTCTGTAAATTAGATAACAGTATTGTATTGACATTAGTTTCCTGGTTTTGATAAGTGTACTGCGGTTATGGAAGACGCTAACATTGGCGAATCCGGGTGAAGGGTACACAGGAATTTTCTGTACTGTTGTTGCAACATTTTTTAATTCTAAAATTATTTCAAAATTGAAAATTTTTTAAACATTTGTAAAAGTGGGTAGAACTATTCTCCGGGAAAAATGAGGGAAATGTTGACCTCCTAGAGAGAAGGAAAATGAGAAAGAGAAAGGACAATCTAGGACACGACAAAAGTGTGCAGACTCTATAGTGTGACCCTCCTTTAAGCCCCCTCAGTGATGGCTACAAAATCACAAAAGCCACGCAGAAACCTAAGAGAACAGCAAACATAAGAACAAAGACAAAGTGAAAGTGATATGTTAAGCCACAGGAACTTGCTGAAATCATGCTGAGGGCTCTGTATTATCAGAACTCACAAGAGGCTATGCACACGACATAATAACTGTATACATTACACTTCATTATTTATTGGAAATATTAAAGAAAGGTACATCTAAATGTTAAAGTCCAAACCATAAAGCTTTTATAAGATAATAGAGGAATATATCTTCACGACATTGCGGTAATGAAAGTCTTTTTAAATAGGACACAACAAGCACTAACCTTTTTCTACAGAGGAAAGAAAAAATGATATAAATTTGACTACATTAAAATTCAGAATGTTTGGTAATCAAAAGCAGACCTGCCACTTTTATGTAATACATTATATAGGTAATCTGCACAAAGGCATCTGACAAAAGCAAGTGAAAGATGAAATTCAGCCCATACTGCACTTACCACACCACACTTACCAAGCCATCAGAAACGGAGCCTTTTTGTAATTTGTACAAAGGTATCCTATGTACTAGACATATCTTCAATCAAAAGATGTCATAAGTAAGTGAAAAAGCATGCCACAGATTTGGGGAAGATATTTACAATACATTTAACCAACAGAGAACTAGTATCCAGAATTTATAAAGAATAACTACAAATCAATAAGAAGACAGATAACTTATTTCATAAATAGGTAAAATTGATAAAAGATTTGACAGTCACTTCAGAAAATAAGCATATGAAAAGGTATTTGTCTATACTATTTCAGAATTCAAATGTTAGTCATTTATGATTTAAAGCAGAATGAAATGTCTCACTCTAGCTCACATATTTAAAACAAACTAAATGTATTTCACAGTTTTTAAAAAATGTAAAAAGAAAAAACAAAAATATTTCAGTTAAAGAAACTTGATTTCTTCAGCTAAATTAGAGTTTCCACAGAGAAACTGCAAAAGGACCAAGATAATTTGGCTGAAATTGGCATGGTCGTTATATACCATGGGTGTCATCATTTTCCAAGGCACTAAAGTCACATCACACTGCATTAGATTGGGAAGAAAATCACTTTTGTAGACTAAGAACTGTTTCATGTCCACAGCTAGACTTGGAATTTTCCATAGAACCTGGATAAAAGTAAGCCAGTTGTCCTAGAAAATTAAGTACTTCTACAGCCTCCATCAATACAAGAGCTAATCATTTGCTATATTCCAGCTATTTCCAATGCATTTAATTCCTTCTCCTAATGGGAAAGAACAGTAGAAAGTAGAAAGTAGGACTAGCCAGTTAGATTGCAGCACAGCAGAGCAGATATGAACACAGGCTTCTGAAGTCAGAATGAGTGTGGGTTTTTTGTTTGTTTGTTAATGTATTTTTTTAAAATAAGTAGCATAGAGAAATAAATCAACAAAGCAATGTACCATTAGAAAAATAATGGACTAAAAACTTTTTAATGTAAGCTACTTACTTATCTGTCATTCAAAAGCAGGCAAGAGGTCAAGTGTTCAGGAAATGAACATATCACAATTTGGGGAGATCAGGAGTTACTGTGAAGAGTGACATGATTTTCAGTGGGTCCCAATTGCTTTTGGGTGAATATTGATAACTTCCTAATTATAAGACCTAGTGATGTGATCTTCTACCCAGTTCTCTCTAGTCTCACCCATAGTTAGATTCCCACATAAATTCTGTCAATCATAAGGTAATTTTTCAGCATCCGGAATATATTCATTATCTTTTTTTGCACCTCTGGGAATCCTCATGTTCTGTTTCCTCTTTCTAATTTTCAGATTAGAAAATTCTAACCTAATCTAAATCTTTTCTAAATTTCATATTTTCTCCAGCCTGAATCACTACTGTTTATTCTTATGACATCCTTCAATATTTATCCCAAATGCCACATCAGTGAAGCCCTCACTGATTAGCTAAGACCTTGAAAAGAGTCAATTGTTTTATCTTAGAGGTCATAGAACCTTGTACTTTTCTCTTTTATTGTAGTCTAAGTACTTTTCTTTTTCTTATTCCTGTTGTAATTTAACCAGAACTCTCTTGAAATAAGGGACAATTCTATGAGACTTGTGTAGACATTTTTTTGTTGTTGCTCTTCAATTCACTCATTCAACAGCTACTTACTGGGGCTTCCATGGTGGCGCAGTGGTTGAGAGTCCACCTGCCGATGCAGGGGACACGGGTTCGTGCCCTGGTCCGGGAAGATCCACATGCCGCGGAGTGGCTGGGCCCGTGAGCCATGGCCGCTGAGCCTGCGCGTCCTGAGCCTGTGCTCTGCAGCGGGAGAGGCCACAACAGTGAAAGGCCTGCGTACCGCCAAAAAAAAAAAAAAAAAAAAAAACAGCTACTTACTGAGAGAGTTCTAGGTGCAAGAATTATTTTAGATGCTAAGAGGCATAATAGTGAACAAAACCAACAAAACTCATTGCCTTTATGGATTTCACATTTAAGTTGTTGCAAATACGTACATACCAAGGCAAACCAGTGCTAACACAAATTGGGGAATTCTAAAATGAAGGTGCTAAGTCACCAAAAGATTGGAGTGCAGCTTAACCTGAAGAAATTTCTGGAAAGAACAAACAACTATAAAAATGACTAAGATTCTCTGTTTTCCTTTGCTCATCTATCCTCTAAGGGTGTGATTTATTTTTTCTACAATCTCTCTTTCTCTCTGAAAACTGGGTTTTTGCGTGCCCTACATATAACCACCTACATGATACAAAAATTTAATCTCTTTATTCCTCATTCTGGGAGAAAGGTCTCTGATTACACTAGCTTGGTCAACATTTGCTTATGGTTTATCAACTATGACTGGGGCTGGTGGCATGACTAAATTGTATAAAATGGTACAAAATGGCTGCCACTACTATAATCTCATGAATGAGAGAAGATTTTTAAAAAGTGGTGAAACTTCAGAGCTCACATCTCTTGGTTGACCTCAGAATGTCCTTATGGATGTAGGCTTTTGGGTATAGGTATTATGTCTATTCTGGCTCCCACTGAAAAAAAAAGAAGAAATAAAAAAGAGAAAAGGTATTTGATCTCCAGCCTCTCATATACAGATGTTCAGGTTGTGCACTATACAACCTCACAACATCTATTGTGTAGACATAGTAGATTTGTATATGTATTCAAACAATTTCTCAGCAGATGGCACTGGAAACTCTCATGCACTACTACTGAGGTTATAGATTGGTACAACCATTTTGGAAGACAGTTTGCCATTTTCTAGTAAAATCAAAGATATATATGCATACCCTTTGATCCCGGAAATCTCCTCAGGCACTTGGGCATCAAAATACATGTACAAGAATATTCATATTGGCATTATTCCTAATTGTGGAAAACCAGAAACAACATAAATGTCCCTCAGCAATAGAATATGTAAATAGATTATGGTACATTTATACACTGGATGCTAGCAATAAAGTAAGCTACAGTCACATAAAAGCATGAATGAATTTTGCAAACAAATATTAATTTTTCCTTATTTTTGTAAATCTCCTTAGAATACAATAGACTGTATACAGCCAAAAATATACAGATGTATTGTGGGGCTTATAATTTATGCATAAATAAAGCCTATGACAACAATAACACAAACAATGGAAGGGGGGAAACAGAAGAATCCTGTTGTAAGGATCTCATACTCTTTGTTGGAGTGGCATAATATTACTTAAAAGTAGATTATGGTAAGTTAAAGATGTGTACTACAAATCCTAAAGCAACCACTAAGAGGCACAGCTTATAAGCCAACAAAGAAGATAAAATGAAATCATGAAAATAGTGAACCCAAAGAAGGCAGAAAAAGAGGAAAAGTTTTTCAGTCCTACTGCTCTCAAATTCCAGAGGACAAACAAATGCCTCTCTGGAAGAGCCAGCCCCTGTCTCTGTGAGTCCTGGCTGTTCTCAGTACAACCCACACCAAAGTCACCTCCTTCCCGAGCTCCTAAGCTGCCTATTATGGGGAAGTAGATGCCTCATGAATCTCAGCGTGTGCATACATGATCCGGCACTCAGGCACATGCATGCGCACACACACACCACACCTAAATCATGTCCTTGTCTCCACCACAGGGCTTTCACTGTCACCCAAGTGCCCTTTCCTGCCTTTGGGTGACCCCCAAATTGCAGGAGCCCCTCGCCCTCAGCTGAGCCCCAGGTCATCCCCAGCTTCTGCCTGTTAGTGCCCCTGAAATGGAAGCTGCCCTGAACCCTGACGTGCTCTCTCTAATGGCTCACCTGTAAAGTAGGGAAACCCCTCAGCAGATGTGACCGCTCTGTGAGAAAAAACAAGAGCCATAGAAATTAAAATGTTAGTACACTGTCATCTCCACCCAGCCTCTATCCCTGGGGTCCTCCCTAAGTTCTTCTGGGTTTCTCATTGTTTCCTCCTTTGAGTCCCTGGAAATGCCTCCCCACTGGGTATCTCATACTCCACTGGAAATCCCCTGGAGTCACAGGGTTACTTATCCATCCCTCCTCTCAGCCTCATAGAGAAGTGCCTTGGAGCTGGGCACTGACCTCAGGCCTTACCTTTTCAGAGGTGAAAACAAAGCCACAGAAGGCTATGAGCCAACGGGAGTCCTCTACAGGCTACCACGGTGAGGTTGGGGAAGAAAAGACAAGAGATTTATGGGGGATTTGAGGTGGTAAACATGAGATTGGAATTGAACTCCACATTTACCATTGACAAATCTACATTCATATCCCAGCTATCATTTAACACTTATGACACTTTAATTAGTTATCTTCTTTAAGCCTCAGTATTTTCATCTGTAAACTGGGTTAATAAATAGTATTCGTCCCTTAGGGTTCCTGTGAATATTAGAGATACTCTATGGAAAAACCCTTGGAACCATGCCTGGCATGTAGTAAGTACTCAATAAATGCTAACTTGTAGTATTGTTGCTGAGACTAAGACTGCTTGGAGCCTCTCTGATGCTGCCTTGTGTGTGGGGTGTGAGGGAGAAAACAGTGGTGTAGACAGAAGAGTCCAAGAAGACCTAGATTTGAGGCCAGGCTCTTCTTGCTAGGTGAGACTAAGCAAATCACTTAGAATCTCCTAGCCTTGATGGGGTTAGTTTTTCATTCATTCATTCATTCAACTTCAAAGAGCTACTCTAAGTTAGCTGCAAATGAAAATGTTTATTAAAATCCCTTGGTGCATTCATGTATTCCTTCAACACAACACTTACTGAGCACATACGTACTCTGCAGTGGGCTCTGTGCCGGGCACTGGGAGACAGATGAGTAAGACATGGTCTCCCCACCAGCAACACTTTCAGTCTAGTGGGGAGCTAGATCAGCAAGCCAGCAATTATAGCATGATAAAGACATGTCCAGGGCCTTGGCTTTAATGGTGAGGAGAAAGATTGGAAGCTTGAGGACTGAAAGAAGTTAAGGAGGAGTTTATTTTCACCAATGACAGACCTGAACTCCATATGCTGAGGGTAAGAGGGGAGAAGTGGAAGATATCCTGAGGACAAAAGTGAGGAAAGACATCTCTTTCACTGGGAATAGAAGGAAGAGAGAAAGATGAGCACAGTAGCCAGTTTGTGGGGACAGGGAAGTTAAAGGAGCTCTCATCTGTGGTGCTGACTTTTACAGTAGAGGAGCTGTGTCTCTTTCTGCAGAGAGCACATGACGTCTGGCCTCTTTATCTCTGCCCTCCTATCTGTCCCCCTCCTCTGCTACTCAGAACATTAAGCCTTGCAGGGTGGCTTAGTTGTGTTGGTCTTTTGCCTCTACTAGTCTGTAAATTCTTTTTTTTTTTTTTTTTTTTTCCCGGTACGCAGGCCTCTCACTGCTGTGGCCTCTCCCGTTGCAGAGCACAGGCTCCAGGTGCGCAGGCTCAGCAGCCATGGCTCACGGGCCCAGCCACTCTGCGGCATGTGGGATCCTCCCGGACCGGGGCGCGAACCCGTGTCCCCTGCATCGGCAGGCGGACTCTCAACCACTGCACCACCAGGGAAGCCCAGTCTGTAAATTCTTTACCTTGAAGCCTCCAGAGCAGCAGAACATCTCTTCTCTGGTTTCCAGAATCCCATTTGCTCCTCGTTCTCATTCCACCCCTCTTCCCTCTTTTTCTGTCTCCTTCACTGACACCTGTTATGTTACTCTGTCGGCCCCTTAAGATTCTATCCCATGCCTTCAATAACATTATAATCCCCAAATCCAGCTTTAATCCTTCATCTGAGCACTCCACCCTTATTTCCAGTTGTTGACTGGACATCTCTTCATTTGTGAGTTTTCACAACATCCAAATGGGTTTATTAAGTGTACCTCCCAACACTCCAACACTGCTCCTCCTTCCTCAGGTTTTAGCAGTCATCATAGCTGAAAAACAAAAGCAAAAAAAACCTTGAAATTATTGTTGATTCCTCTGTCTCTCTCCACTTCCACTTAGTTCTTAAGTCTGATTGATCTGTCTCTAGAAACATCTATTCATCTCTCTTAAGACCTTCATTAGCCAGTAAACTGATCTCATCTTTTACAGTCTTTTCCATTCCTTCTGCCCTGCCTTGAGGAGCTTGTTATTCTACATTTCCTCTACTGACTGCTTTGGAGCCCAGTGTCAAAGAAGCTCCTTTAGGAGTTTACCTAAGTAATCCTAAGATACAGAACAGGAGAGAAAATTACAGTTCACGTGACGGAGACAGACCAACCTTGTCCAAGTTAAGATGTTTGTGGGCAGCCCATGCCAGCTAATTCTCCCCCTTAAGGATGACCATCCTGTGGTGTTTGGGAAGGAGCGGGAGTCCCTAAATGTCTTCTTGGCCACTGCTCCTCCGTGCTGCGTTTTCCTCCATGCCCCTTTATTCCATCACAGATCACCTCTCACCTCACTCACTCTCAGCTCCTGAATTCCACCCCCCGCAGAAAGTCTTCAACAGACCTCCCCTAAGAATTTTTACCACCTCCGCACAAGTGTTGTCTGGTCTTTGCCCAACCACAATGAAAGTACATTTCCCAAAATTTGAGTTATTCTGACTAAAATAATGCTCTAAGAGTTCCAGAAACACATTCCAGGGTGGGCTTTGGAATTCCAAATCCACTTCCTTTTGAGGTCTGTCTGTGAACTTAGAGATGTTCCTCTTCAGTCTTCTGAGTATTCAGAGGGTGGCTATAGTAACACCAATGTAAACATTGATTTTCAGAGACAATACATTTAAACCTATAAGAAAGAAGAATATTTCTTCCTAGCTGCTCCACAATTCATAAGGCTTCTCTAATCTTCAAAGTAATTAGTAGTTATAGTAAAATGATCAATTGCCTCATTTGCCTGAAAGGTTTCCTGGGACACCGGATGTTCAGGTCTAACACCAGGTAAGTCTCCAGCAAGCCAGGACTAGTTGGTCATCCTGAAGTTAAGAGCATGCACTCTGGAGTCTGTCTGGGTTCAAATCCAGCTCTGCCACTTACCAGCTGTATGATCTTGAACTAGACTTAATCTCTCTGTGCCTCACTTTCTTCCTCAGTAAAATTAAGAAGATTAAAAAAAGTTAATACATGAAAGCATTTAGAACACTGCCTAACATACGGTAAATGTCCAACAGGTGTCAGCTACTTTTATGCATATCAGTGTTAATTCCTCTAATCATCACACCTACCACCACCAAATGGTGCTCCCTAAGAATCTGGATAAGATGTGAGCCCAGTACTGAATCACACATCTTTAATCTTAATATCTGCTCTCCTAATTATACAAAAACCTGGCCAAAGCTTTGAAATTACTACTCTCAGAACCCAGTTAACTGTTTAGCTTCTTACCTGTTCCTCATTCACCTTACCCGACAAGCAATGCTCGAGCACTTCCTGTGTGTTTATGGTGGCTCTGTGCTTGGAGCTTCAGAGAACACAATAGAGGTATGCTGTTACCCCTGTGCTCCTGGAACTCACATTCTGAAAGGAATGCAAGCATCATTCACGACACTGATGACAAGGCCAGGCAGGAGGCCCCACATCCAGTCTAGAGGGTCTTAGGAAGGGAGAAGTCTCTGTGGCCTGTTGTTTGTGTCCAGGAAGAACAGAAGTACTCCTCAGCAACTTTCCTCTCCCCTTGCCACACAGTGTACCCCAGGCACAAAAGTGAGGCCATCATTCCTGACTTGTTCCTCTCTCCCAATAAGCCCCACTTGGTTCTTCCCAGGCTTCTAGGACCAAAGATTCCTCATATATTCTTTTTTCCTCCTAATCAAGAATCTTCTTCATCCTTTCTATTGCCTCTGGCCCATCACTCTTTTTTCTCTCCTATACCACACCTACTTTCCGCCTAATCTTTTACTCAGCAATCAAATACCTGGAGTATCACAGATAAACAGCATCTTGTAAGTTTACATTTCACATACAAAAGTCAAGAGCTCCCTAAGGACAAGGAATGTCTTGTTCATCTTTGTTGCTCCCATGACACCTGACATAGTACCTGTCTGTGCCCCAAAAGAGTAGACATACGTGCACGAAGAGGTGGATCTTCATCGCAAACCACGCAGGCCCTAAAATAAAAATAGGTTTTCTTCCATTGACCATTTTGTTCTAACAGTCTCTTATCCCCACTCCTGGGGCCAGCTCAGGGCCAAAGCCAGTGGGTAAGGATGGAAATAGCAGCACCTTCAACATCTCCTACACCAACTTCTTCCTGGGGGGCTTCTCTGGATTGCGACAGTGGAGGCCCCTCCTGGTCCTGCCTCTTACTTTTCCCTATGTGACCATCGTCTCTGCCAATGCCCTCATCATCCACACGGTGGCGGCCCAGCAGAGCCTGCATCAGCCCATGTACATGCTCATTGCCCTGCTCCTGGCTGTCAACATTTGTACTGCTACAGCGGTGATACCCAAAATGCTGGAGGGCTTTGTGCATTATGTTAACCCCATATTACTGCATGGCTGCCTGGCCCAGATGTTTTTCATCTACTTCACTCTCCTTCTGGACTACAACCTCCTGCTGGCCATGGCCCTAGACTGCTTAGTGGCCATGTGCCACCCACACTGTTATAGTGACCTGATGACCTCCCGTCTGCTAGGCGTGCTGGCCTTTTTTGCCCTGACATGGAGCCTGGGAGTGGCAGTGCCCTTGGTAGTGCTAACCTCACGAGCTTGATTCTGCCAGACAGCAGTGATCTGACACTGTACCTGTGAGTACATCGCACTGCTGAGCATAGCTTGTGGAGACTTGACCTTCAACAACCAGTTGGGGCTGGCCACGCGGTTGGTCACTGTGACCTTTGATCTAGCCCTGCTGGGGACCTCCTACACCCGCATCATCTATGCTGTCTTCTGGATATCTCCTGGGGGAGCCCGAACCAAGGCCTTGCACACGTGTGGCTCCCACTCCCATTGGTCATCCTCACCATCTACCTCTCTAGTCTCTCCACTTCCATCGTTTTCCGAGTAGCCAAGGCTGTGTCTCGGAATGTCCAGAACCTGCTCAGTGCCATCTATCTGCTGCTCCCAGGAGCCTTGAATCCTGTCATCTAGGGGGTAAGGATCAGAGAGATCAGGCAACATATAGAAAAGATGCTCTGTGGAAAGGAATTAGCCCAGGAGGTTAGGGAGAAGCCAGAGAGGCTGCAGAATATGACAGTGAAGGAGAAACTGCCAGGGTGAGAGAACTTCATCAACTTGGGAAATTGGGGCTGTGACCTCTGGGAACAAGAGATAAGCAGGCAGTACTGAGGGACAGGCTGGAATTTCCTGAGATTATGGAGGACTCAACAGCAGGTTCATTGTTGGTAAACTATTCCTTTTTGAATTCTTAGAATGCTCTGTTTTCACTCCAATGAAAAAATTGCTTTCCCCTATTTATCCTTGTTAGTTTAGTTTCTCTGTCCTCTTCTCCCTGACTCCTGAGAAAGCCCCCCAGTTAATATCTGGATATGTGGAGCTCCACTGGAAGTTGTATAGAGCAAGTTGCACAGACCACGACTTGCCCTGAACACCCAGTCTGAAACAAATAAACAGGCCAGGCTCTTCCCTGGTGCCCAGTCTCTCCCAGATACATAGTAAGACTTGACAGGAAGCCCAGTCTCACCGAATATACAGGTCAGTTTTGATGCCATCAGTCTAATGCAAACACACGAGTTAGGTTCTAGAGTCCAATCAGTTCCAAACACAGGTGAGGCTCTGCCTGATATTCCCAGTCTGATATCCCCAGGCACACAGGTCAGGCCTACCCCAGGGGTCCAGTCTAGCCCAAACAGGTCAAGTCCAGCCAGGGGGCCCTCCAGTCTGACAGACACCCAAGCCAGGTCTTCTCCTTGGGACCCAAATTCATCCAAAGACCAGACTAGGCCCTTATCTGTACTTGAGCTTGACCCAAACCCAGAGGTCATGCCACTCTTTCCCATGGTAGCCAGTGTGATTTATCTAAGTCACTCCTGCTTGAAAGACCTCCATAGCTGTCATCTATAGAATGGAGTAGCTATCCTTTAGGGATGTCCCAGAAAGAGGCTATGGTGTCCCATACTGTGCAGGACCATCTGTAAACCACCCAAGTTTTCTCTTCCTCTATCACTTGATCATATGGAATGTCCCATGAGGCCATGGGTGCAGGCTGGGAGAGAGAAGGTGTAGCAGGAGTGAGAACCATGGGCATTTGGGCCAGTTCTTCAGTAGATCACTTGTGCTTTCAGGGCCTGCTTGAGCCCAATCTTGTATATACCACTTCCATTTGATGATGGAATGCTACTATGCATGCCCAACTTTAGGCTTAGGGGGTCAGACAACACCCAGTTCATGACAGGCAGCTCAGGTTGCATGGTAACTTCGTGGTCTTTGGTTAGGCAGTCTTCAAGTCCCAGTAGCAGCCGAAAGCTGTCTCTCACAAGGTAAGTATTTATCAAGAGAGGATGGCAGGGCCTGCCAAAGGCTTCCAACAGCATCCCTATCTGCCACTGATACTTGAGCAGCTTGCATGGCAGACTGGACCTGTTGCAGAGCCAGGTTTGTTCTTTGTCCTGGGCCCCACTCAAAACTAGCAGCTTTTAGGGTCACATGGTAAATGGGCCAGAGTAGCACATCCAAAAGAGGAATACGTTGCCATGTCGCCTCGAAAATCCAAAGAGGCCCACTAGTCTTTATACCTTTCTTTTGGTTGTAAGAGGAGCCAGATAGAAGAATTTATCCCTCATCATAGAAGGAATATCCCAACATGCCTTATATCATTGGAACCCAAGAAATTTCACTGAGGTAGAAGGTCCCTGAATTTTTGTTTGATTTATTTCTCATTCTCTGACACACAAACGTCTTACCAGTAAGTCTAGAGTAGCTGCCATTTCCTGCTAGGTCCAATCCACATCTCAACGTAATGGAGCACTGTGATGTACTGTGGAAAGGAAAAGTGATCAAGATGAACTAAATTATGACACTGGGCTAGAGAGCTGATAACTGATACACCCCTGAGGCAGAACACATACATGGTCACCCAGACCCTTGCCTCTCTGTTTGATTAGGAGTATCCAGTGATGGTATTCTGCATGTCTCTATTGCCACATCACCACCAGGGACTATCAGAGCTCTCTTTACTACTGAAAAGTCATGCTTAAATCTCATCAAATTAGAGAACCAACCCAGAAAACTCATCCTTAGGATTCCATTCCTCTAGAACCATTTCCAGTACCAGAACCTATATTAGTCAGTGTTTTCGTTCTCCAGAGAAACAGAACCAATAAGGTGTGTATATACACACACACACACACACACACACACACACACACACACACACAAAATCATATCTATATATTCAGTTGACCCTTGAACAATGCAGGGATTAGTTCCAGGACACACAGAGGATACAAAAATCCACGGACGTTCAAGTTCCATACAGTGTCTATATCCACGGGTCCAAATCCACAGATTCAACCAACCACAGACTGTGTAGTATTGTAGTACTTATTGAAAAAATCCAAGTGTAAGTGGACCCATGCAGTTCAAATTCATGTTGTTCAAGGGTCAACCATATACATCTCTCTCTCTCTCTCTCTCTCTCTCTATACACACACACACACACACACACACATAAAGTAATACGGGGGACTTCCCTGGTGGTGCAGTTGTTAAGAATCCACCTGCCAATGCAGGGGACACAGGTCCAAGCCCCGGTCCAGGAAGATCCCACATGCCATGGAGCAACTAAGCCCGTGTGCTACAACTACCCAGCCTGCGCTCTACAGCCTGCGAACCACAACTACTGAGCCTGTGTGCTGCAACTACTGAAGCCCACACAACTAGAGCTCATGCTCCGCAACAAGAGAAGCCACAGCAATGAGAAGCCCGTGCACTACAATGAAGAGTAGCCTCCACTCACCACAACTAGAGAAAGGCTGTGTGCAGCAACGAAGACCCAATGCAGCAATAAATAAATAAATAAATAAGTTAAGTAAGTAAGTAAGTAAGTAATGGGCTCACAATTGTGGAACTGGCAAATCCCAAACTGGCAGAGTAGGCTTCCAGGATGGAAACCCAGAGAACAGCTGATACTGCAGGTCATGTCCAACGGCAGTCTGTAGGCAGAAGTCCTTTCTCAGAGGACCTCAGCATTTTTCCTCTTAAGGACTTCAACTGATTGGATGAGGTCACCCGCATTATGGAGGATAATCTGATTTACTCAAAGTCTACGAATTCAAATGCTAATTTCATCTAAAAACAATACCTTCACAGCTCTATCTAGTGTTTGATCAAATATCTGGATACCATGGCCTAGCCAGTTGGCAAATAAAATTAACCATGACATTGCCTAGGCTTACAGCAAGCCTAACCAAGTATGGGAGTGTCCTAGCACAGAGTCAATCTGCAAAGACCAAGGAAAGCTGTCAAAACATTAACTGAACGTACTCCGCAGAAGAGACTTCACTGCAAAAAGTTTAGTCTCAGAATATTTCAACAAAAAAAAAATCACAGGCATTATAAAGAAACAGGTAAACATAGACCATTCAAAGGAAAAAGATAAACTGACAGAAACCACCCCTGAGGAAGCCCAGCCGTCAGACTTTCTAGACAGACATTAAAACAACTGTCTTAAATATGATTGAAGAGCTAAAGGAAAACAGGTAAAGGAAATCAGGAAAACAATGTATTAACAAAATCAGACTATCAACAAAGATGTAGAAGCAATTAAAAGGAACCAAACAGAAAGTCTAGAGCTGGAAAGAGCAATAACTGAAATGAAAATTTCACTAGAGGGACTCAACAACAAAGCTGAGCAAGAAGAAGAAAGAATAAATGAACTTGACGATAAGGCAATTGAAACTACTGAGTCTAAGGAGCTGAAGTAGGATGAAGAAAAGTGAACTAAGCCTAAGGGACCTGTTGGGACATTGCTAAGTGGACCAATAGATGCAACATTGGAACTCCAGAAGGAAAAGAGGGAAAGGGGCAAAAAAGATTACCTGAAGAAATAATGGCTGAAAACTTCCCAAATTTAACAAAAGGTGTGAATATATCAATCCAAGCAGCTCAACAAACCCCAATTAGGCTAAATTCAGAGACCCACACCAAGACACATTATAATCAAACTGTCAAAAGCCATTAGGATGGTTATTATAAAAAATACAAAAAATTAACAAGTATTGGCAAAGATGTGGAATAACTGGAACTCTCGTGTACTGTTGGTAGAAATGTAAAATGGTGCACTTGCTGTAGAAAACAGTTCGGCAATTCCTCAAAAAGTTAAATATAAGATTACCATCTAGTCCAATAATTCCACTTCTAGGTACACACCCAAAAGAACAGAAAGCAGCAATTCAAACAGATACTTGTGCATCAATGTTCACAGCAGCATTATTCACAACAGCCAAAAGGTGGAAATAACCCAAATGTCTATATATATATATATATATATATATATATATATAATGAGATATTACTCAGCCTTAAAAAAGGAATGAAATTCTGACACAATACATAAATGAACCTTGAAAACATTATGCTAAGTGAAATAAGCCAGACATAAAAGGACACATATTGTATGATCCCTTTTATTTGAGATACCTAGAATAAGCAAATTCAGAGTCAGAAAGTAGAATAGAGGTTACCAGGGAATAATGGAAGAAGGGAATGGGGAATTATTGTTTTATGTATAGACTTTCTGTTTGGGATGATGAAAGAGTTCTGAAAATAGATAGTGGTGATGGTTGTACATTGTACATGTACTTAATGCCACTAAATTGTATGCTTTAAAATGGGTAAAATGGTAACATTTATGTTACGTATATTTTACCACAATTTTTTTAAAAAGAAGAAAAAGACATATATTAAAATCAGAATTCTATATGGTGTCTAAGTAACTTGTCTTAAAATTTCTTCCCTGAACCCTCAAATAACAAAAAATCCTTTATCAAAGTTGACCTTTGTATGAAAATAAATGACAAAATTAGTCTCACACAATCATTTAGAAATGTTTATCTTTATTTCAGAATGACCTATTAGGACCTTATCCAGATAAAGGTTCTGTCAGCACTTCTCACGTGTTATGACTCAGTTTTGCTTCTATGGACACACCAGTCAAAGTCTCCTTACCAAAACTGAAGTCACCAGAAAAGGGGTACCAGATGGGTGATGAAACCCTACTTAATCACTCCCTATTTGCAAGATGACTTCTTTTGCATTCCTAAAACATCTACTTTGATTCCCAATATATCAATTTAAAAAAATCATTACTTTCACGTTTATATAAACTGACTTTAAATCAATTGATTTAAATTGATTTAAATTGACTTTAAATCAATTGATTCTTTTGCTGCAATAACGTCCAGCAAAACCTTATCACTTCAAGCAAACCTACTATACCTATCTATGCTCAAGAAGTAGTTTGGCTATTAAAGAAGGGCTGGTCTCTTCTAAGCCTTTCCTCAGGATCCACACATCAGACATTCATCTCTATTTTCCAAAGAGCACACCATGGCTGCTGTGTTCCTCTCCTTCTCTTCTTCTTTTGATACCTTTTCCTTATCTTTCAGCTTTTCTTTATTTAGAGTGAACTGGATCGGATTAGCTGCTGGTCTTGTCCTTAAATAATACATCCCAGTCTTCAAACCCTAAAAGGGAAGTAAATACAACTAATTAGGAGAAGCTGTGAGAACACTAGACATTCAAGACCAATGTTTAAAATACATTTCCATAAACCAGGTCAAATTGCTTTCTAAACTTAGAATTATATCTCCTCTAGGA